CTGTTGAAATAACGTAGATTCTAAATTCCTTTTCATATTCCAGCTTCCTAGCTTTTCTGGTTCCCGAACTATTATAAAAGAAACTTCAAAAACTCACAAAGCTAGTGTTCTAAGCACCATCTTCGCGCCGTACTTGACACAAAAACCCCAATATTCAGAATTCTGAACACAAGGGCATTTCGTGGAAAAAGGATAATCCTAATTTTCTTAACACGAGGATTATGTTCCTCACTTCTCACAGGACCACCATTTGCTAAAAGAACATAAATATTTCCATGAAACGAGTACACAACGGAGGCCCCTTGTTCTTCTGTGCTAATAAATACCGGGATCAATCAGGTATTCAGTATGGCTGTCCGATGTAAGTGAGTAATGTTGCTGAGATGCTCCTACACGCTGGATGCGGCTGTGACACACCCTTCAATCCTGAGTGTGCTAATGACAAAAGCAAAAAAAAGACAAAGAAAAACTCATTAATTCCGTCAGGGCTTCGAAAAAAAATCACTTTTTTAGCCTCAACACGGCAAAAAAGAGCTACCCGGGTGCGCCTTTGTGCGCTACTTATTATTCTCTGTGCAACTGCGGAACTGTGATAAATTTCGAATATTTAATTCAGATTAAGGCTTTTTTAAAAATTTTTTGAGGCGAGGAAGTTTTTTTGGCTTCTCTAGTAATTAACTGTTTTTATGCGTTTTTTGCAGCTATGCAATGCAGAAAACGCATATTGACGAGGGTTTGTCTGTGTGTCCGTGTGTGTTCTGTCATGGATTTTCATCTCAAGACCTATAAAAGCTACAGGGCTGAAACTTTGGGACCATAATCTACATGCACGTATGGGCCCCAGTCCCCAAAATGAGCGCCATTACCCGCGTGGTACCCACGTAAGAGCTCGCCTAAGTTTTTTACGGGTAAACTGCTAGCTCGGGAACCAGAAGTGCTTGGGGGCTGAAATTTTAAGAGATTATTCCCCGTCCAATTAGGTGTTAATGAGCTCGAACCCAGCCCTCGGGTAAGCGTGATACCCGCGTACAGGCCCGCCAAAATTTTTTTTTTGGATAAGTTGATAACTCAGGAATCGGAAAAACTAAAAAGCTGAAATTTTGCGGGGATGTTCCCTGTCCATGTAAGTCTTAATGAGCTTCAAACCAGCTCTCGGTACGCGTGGTACCTACGTATGGGCCCGCCAAGGTTTTTTCGGGTAAGTTGATAACTCGAGTACCTGAAAAGCTAAATGACTGTAATTTTAAGAGGATATTTCCTGTCCACGTAAGTCTCAGCGAGCTCAAACCCAAACATCGGGCATGCGTGGTACTTTTAACGTACTGGCTCGTGAAAGTTATTTTCCAGTAAGTTACTAACTTAAGAGCCAGGAAAGCTAGAAGGCTGAAATTTTAACGGTGTTTCCTAACAGTTCTGGCGGCCAGTCTAAACTTGTTTAGCTAGAAGCATTTGGCAAAAAAATCGGTGCCGGTAGCGACAAAACTGCGGGGAACTATGCAAAAAACGTATTTTCGCACGGGCAGCCCGTGCGTTGGCCAATTATTTTTATCTAGCTGCCCAATAATTATCTAGCTGAATGAGGACACAGCACTGTAATGATGGCTCTGAAAAGCAAACTAGAGGGAGCTACAGAACCGGAATCCGTATAGGCGGTTCTGATATGCCAACTTCGTTATATGTCGAAGATTTGGCGGAGGAGGATTTCAGTCAAACGTGGAATTTATTGATAAACAAGTTCCCATCCTGGCTTCCTGAATCTCATACTTCACTAAATCCATCAATCCTGTAGTGCCATTTCTCATATGAGTTTAGATTCAAGAGATTGAAAATTTTTGCATCTCAAGTCACAGAAAGGGAATCGACGGAGAGAGCAGGAGGAAGGAGA